TAAGCTATTCCAATTTATAAAATATATAACTATTCCATAATTATTCCAATTAATATATATATGTTTGATCATTCTGTGCATGGCTATTCTTGTTTAGCATGAAGAATGATATTTTAAAAAAATAATTGAAAAAAAAGAAAAAGACGACAAAACATACTTTGTCAAAAAGATGAAATGCCTCTTTATATTCGATCATTTCTTCTTCCGTTATACCTGCAAGTTGTTCATCCCTATCTTGTTGTTTCCAACGATTAAACATCGATGATCGACGTTTACTACCCATTTTGGTATTGTTTTACCTGTTTAATATAACAAAAAAATGAATTACATTATGTAGAATCATTCGTGCAAATTAACTTACAACTTCGATCGATATAACAACTTAACATGCCTAAAAGATGTGAATATGCAGGAAGTAACTCTCCAAAAAGCGAATCTTCAACTCAATATTTAACTTGTTGAGCAATATTCAGCAATATAAATATAATTTGTTTTGATTTCAATTCAATTTACGCATTGACTAACTTATGAAGGAATATTGAATATAAAGCTTTTTATTATGATCAACAACGATGAAATTTGAATTTATTTTAATTTCAAATTCAATTTGGTTGCGAAGTACAAAACATTTTTTATTTATTAACTTTAACAAAATATAAACCTTAAAAGTTCGATGAATTGAAATTAGCAATTTTTATAGTTTTCTAATTTATTAATTTAAAAAATTGCTTATTCATCTATAATAATATATACAAAAAAAGTGGTAAACAAAACGAAGATTATATGTTAGAAAATTTTATTTATTATTATTACTATTATTAGCATAATCAAACAAAATTTGGTTTTTATTTCGCATTTTTTTTATTCATCTATAAGATTAATTTATTTAATTTCAATTGAACTTAAATTTAAATTTATTAATTTTAGAAATTTAAAATTATTGATTTCATTCATAAATGTTTGTTTCATCTCATTCTTTGGCATATTATATTATATAATGCAGTTTATTGCAATATCAAATAGCAAACTTTTTTTAAAAAAAAAACTATGAAATAACTATATGTATTAATGAAATTATATGTATTAATGAATTAATAAATGAACTAAAATGGGAATTAATATTGAATAAATGAAATAATGTGATATGTTGAATACGATAATGATTTGTTGATTTATCATGATTTATCATGATTTGTTTCTTTTCTTTTGATATATGAAAATTTATAATTATTGAGGATGATTTGAAATGGATCTTAATAATTGCATATTTCAGTATATATGTTCTTTTTTTTAAATTATTTCATTCTCTTTTCTAACTATACATATTTTCATAAGCGCTAAAAAAATAAAAGATTCAAAATATATAAGATATTAGAATCAGGACTGCTGATCAATATGACAATAATATCAAGACAACAATATCTTAAAATTGATACAACATGTAGGAAAATTAATTCTAAATATTATTGTTATGTTCATCGATAAACATATGGAAAAGAAGACATAGAAATTGTTGAAATCATAGAAAAGGTAGAAATCACAGATAAAATTGTGAAATTCATTTAGGCATGCTAAAGAGTAGAATTAAATTAAAGTTTTCAATAAAATTTAAATCAACAAATTATTCTCAATGTTGTTGTATTCATCGATAACTTTAGGTTTGTGAAAAAGAAAGGAAAAGAAATTGCAGAAATGGAATATTATAATACAATGGCAAGAAGTTTCATTCATAAAATAACTTTATTCATTTTAGAATGGTATAATTATAATTTTAAACTTAAACTATTACCTCTTCCATCAATTAGATTAATAATAGTTTCTACCATTATAAACCTAATATGCAAGAAATTTTTTATTTGAATTTTTTAAAAAAAAAATATTTTTTTCATTATTTAATGAATTTCACGTCAATAATTAAATGCACATCACTTTTTTAGTCTTTTAGTTGAGTTAGTCAAATAGAAATTGAACTTTTTTATAAGATTAAAAAATCTAACCTCTATCCATTATAAATTTCTATATACCTCTATAAAACATTATCAGATATTAATTTTATAAAAGTTTAAATTTCTATCTTACATGGCTAATATATGTTTATCATATAAATATATCTTAAAAGAATAACATATTTCTTATGGCTTAAATAAAAGTAATACTACTTGATAATAATTACCATAATCCTTTCCTTAAGAGATGATTTTTTGTGATATTATTATTGTGTTATTTATTATTATTATGATTAGTTATGCGCAGATATCTTTTTTTTTCCAGTTAATACTTCATATTATAAATTATAATAAATCTTAGTTATACCGTATATGAATTTTATTATCACTACTATTCTAAACAATAAATTATATTTATGTAATTTATTTATTCTTTTTAATATATAACCATTATTTTTGATAATGTAAATTTTTCATTTAGCATATATTTGCATATTATGATTGATCTTATTGATTGATCAATTAGAATCAGTAGAAATTTGAATTTTGATAAAATTTTTTCAGAATACAAAAAAGAAATATATTGACGAAATTTTTTAAGAGAAAAGCTAAAATAATGAAGGATAAATTTAAGATATTATCAAAATTTGTCCTTAATTTATTGCTTTATCATTATTTTCTTCCTTTCTTTCTTTCATTTCTTTCTCATTTTCCTGCAATGGTAACTAATTGACCGTAAAATAAAATGAATTTAAAGAATTTAAAATTAAGATGAAAACGATGGATGAATAATTTTAAAACAGAAAGAGAGAGAAGATTAGGCTATTATTTAGCATTTTCATCCTTTACTTTAAAATAAACTGATATTGAAGTATTTTTTCGTATTGAATTTTATTCACTTTGAACTTTTAACAGTGTTAATTTTTGTAACGAAAGAAAGTTCGAATTATTACTCTATCGCATCCTATCTTGATATTCCAATTTTAGCTTCAGTTTTCGTTAAATTAATTTTAACTATACATTATGGTAATTAGAAATAACTTGAATTGTTGTAAGTGATTAATAGTTAGGACTGCATAATTCTGATTAATTAAAATTTTCATATTCAATTCAAAATTCAATCTATTCTTTTTAAAGTCATAAAAATATATGTATATGTTTACATTAAACTCTCAAAAATTTAACTCTTTAAATTCTTAACAAAATCTATTTTTTAAAAGATATGCATTATATAATATTTTTTTTTAAAAAAGAATAAGAAAATCTTAGAGAAACAAAGAAAAAGGAAAGAAACTTCCAAATCATAGGAAATCACTGATGATAGGACTTAAAGACCGAATGGATGAAATCACTATTTTGAATGCTAAAAAGTGATAATGATTAAAGTAAGAAGAAGATGAAAAGAATGGATAATATCCGTAAGTGAATGTAAATAACTCAAAATTATTTAAAAGCTTATTATTTAATAATTTTCAAGTATCGGTTAAATAGTAAAGGAATTTTCTAAAAAAGAACAATGAAGTTGAATTTAAAAAATGAGGAAAAGAAAAGGATAAAATTATCAATGAATGAACGTAAAAATATGTAAACATTTAAGGCTTTTTATAAAATGAAATAATGAATAATGGCTATATCATCATCATCAATAGATGATTGATTATCGTTAACAAAAATCTTAACAATCATTGCACTGAAGCAATTTGAATAGTAAGCCTAATAATAGTAACATACATTTCATTTGTATTAATTGAACAATTGTTAACTAATAGTTGCGCTTTTTAGCTTCGAAATGATTAAGTGATAATATGTAATATTGATAAGATGTGATTACATGTCATAAGTGTATAAGAATTCTAAAGCTAAATGTCGTAAGTGTCAGAATTTCCACCATCATACGGTATCCATCACAACATCATTTTACATTTTATATTTCATTTATTTTAAAATAGTATCATCGAATATTAAGAAGAAGAAGAAATTATAATGTCTTTGTCTTTTAAATGAACTATTAATTGAAGAAAGTTGAAATTAGAGGCAAAGGTTAACAAAATTATACGTAGTAAGAGTTATTGTTTTAAAGGTATCATCTTTTTGCTTTGTTCCATCTTTTTTTGCTATAATTTTCCTAAAAATTTAAGGTTGTTTTTAAGGAAGATTTACGAAAATATAGGAAAAAGTGGAGAAAGATGGATTAGTAAGGAAGAGAATTATGAATGATTTTGTGGGATAGATGAGGAAAGAAAAGCTGAACAATGGTCTGTAAAATATGATAGTTGTCAGGGAATTTTTATGAATAATTAAAATGATAGAGAAGATAAGAAAAGGTAATATCGGTTAACATTTTTGGAAAACTTTTCACTATACAAATAAAATAATGCTAAATGAATAGAAAATGAGTAAAATAACTTTAGAGTAAAATGATATAGCATAGAGAGAAAGAGAGAGAGGCAGAGAGAGAGAGAGAAGAGGAGAAGAAAACATTTTAATTTTAATGCTTTAAGAACAAATATTTTATTCCTTAATCCTTATTCATATAATAATCATTAAAATAATGAACTTCTTCTTTTTTTTGTTTACTTATTATTTACTTTTTAATTAGAATGTACCGTTGTTTATTTAAAAAAAAAATTTTAATTGAAATGTACCGTTATTTATTTAAAGAAAAAATATGTGTTCAAGTATTTATATATCTTAAACATATCAAGTGATAATATAATATTTTATAGTTTATAATTTATACTATATATTTTATTGTATATGTGTTTATATGCATATATGTATATTTTAGTTACGAAGTACATTGATAACGATATCATGTGCAATATTTCAATCGATAGCGCTATTATGGTATTACTTTTCTTTTAATTTTTAAAAATTAATAAAATATAGGAATTATTTCGTAAATTTTTAAGTTGATAAAATACTTTTTTCGTACAATTTTAAACAATTAAATGAATTGAAATCAATAATTTTTTGAAACAGAGAGAGAGAGAGAAAGAAAGAAAAAATGAAAGTAGCGATTATTATTTTGTACCGCAAATAACTGCTAATTTAAAGTTTGCACTACTATTATCACACCAGCATATGCTATTTTACTACTTTTTTCCTAAAATAATATTTCAGTTGCGAAATTGATTTCAATCCCTAAAAATTTATCAGAATTTAAATATGGAATCAAAAAGAAAATAGAATATCCATTTATTTTATATTTATTATTAGCAAAAAGAAAAAATCTAAACTTATTCAATTTAGGTATGTGCTTAGCTATGCGCCAGGTGGTGAACGTGGCTTACGATTTATGGCTTATCTATTAAAAGGATTTTGTATTTCCAAATCAACAACTGTATTACCTATTTGACATTACTCATATACAATTGTTACTTATACCTATAAAATGTCTATAAATACTTGTAAAATGTGTCTCTAAAGCATATTAACCTTCAATTTCAACATTATACATGTAAGCAGTAAGATTTCTAAAATGATTTACAGTTCCTTGCGGGTTTACTTGCGTACATTCATCAAAATTGAGCAAGAAAAAAAAGTTTCATATTTTAAATTTTAATCCAATAATTAAAAAATATAATAAATTTATTTGACATCCCTCAATCACTTACCATTATATTATAATATGTAATAATTTAGTGCTGCTATTGGCACTTTAATTCTAACGCTCATGTTTATTTGAGCATAATTTTTCGTTTAAAATTATCATCAAACTTTTTGCTTTTTAATTACAAATTATTGTTTGATATGAATTTTGAGATTTAATAATAATAATAATAAACATACCATAATTTCATCATTTAATTTCTCTTTTGCGAAATTAATTACTTTATAATTTTAAACTGAAAAAAGTTTAACAATGATTTCAAACAACGAAGAAGATATTGTAATTTATTTATTGTTTTTCTTTTGCATTAAACCATTAAACCATTAAACCATCAAAGCATCAAATTTGATTGTACTTTTTAAATCGCATTAAAATCGAACTTTATTTTTTCCTAAATAATTTGACGAAATTAGTGAAATTTTCTGCGACGTCATCCTAATGGAAAAAAGTCAGTCTTTTGAAAAGCTATTTGGCTTTCATATATTTCATTTGAAAATATTTGAGATCGTTTTCTTATTTCCAGCCTTTTTTTTTTGTTCTTATTTTTAGCGCTTTTTATTTTTGAAAAATGAAAATAAACGAGGAGAGAAGGAAAGAGAGAAAAAGAAGAATACAGTATACAAATTTTAACATTCAAAAATTATTTCATTTACTTTCAAACAATTTTAAATTAGTAAAGTAATAGCATTATTATAAAAATAGTTTCAATATTCATATTTAAACTTTTGCGTATTAATTAATTAAATTTTCATAAAGTTGCGATAAATTTTATTGTTTCATTTAGAGGTAAATAAGCATAATATATTCGAAATAAATTATTTCAAAAATAAATTTTTTATAAATAAATTTATTTGATTTCAATAAAATAATTTTCTTCAAAAATTAAAAAATAAGAAAGAAAACATTTTAAAAGTTTTAATATTTACAATGCAAAAAGAAAACATTCAATTTTAATAAATTTAAGAAAAAGAAAGAAAAAACAGTTAATATAAAATTTGATTATTGTTTTAAATATAATTAATAGATTTAATGAAAATATATTTAATATTATTACTTTATATATTTAGAATTTACTGCGATTAATTTAAAATATTGAAATTTTTGAAAAAAAGAAGTTTCAACAAAAAAAAAGATGGAAAGTATGATAACATTGATGATACGGTGGAATGTGTAAAGAAGGATGAATAGAAGTGAGATAAAGATTGGAAGAGAGAGAGGGAGAGAGAGAGAGAGAGGTAAAAAAGATTGGTTCCATAATAGCTATAAATTATAAGAAGGTTTTTTCATTTTGTTACCCGGACGACGAAAGTTCGATTTTTTTCCTCTCTCTCTCTCTCTCTCTCTCTCTCATTACTCAGGATATAATATCCTTGGTTAATTTATCTCTCATCTTGTTAACAGCAGCAAAATGATTAACTAAAATCAATGATAAGTTTTAAAAGAAGAAAAAGAGAAAAGAAAAGAAAATTCTTTTGTGAAATACTAATAATTGTAATTTCTCTCTCAGAGAAAAAGAGAAGAAATTCTCTCTCTCTCTCTCCCTTTTTTTGCCTTTTTTTTCATTTTTTACAAATAATTTTCATTCAAACAATTCTGCGATAATTTTAAAATGAAGCAAAAAATAAGACGAAAGAACAATTTTTACCGTCGAATTCTTTTTGTTTAACTAAAAAATTGAAAATTTTCAACAACTATATAAACTAGAAAATAAAAAACTTAAAATTTCTTTTTAACTACAATAGAACTCAAATTAGTAATGAATTGTTATAATTATAATAATAATAATTATTATTATTATTTACTATTATTGAAATATAATATATAAGAGGCTGGAGAAGGAAGAGAGGAGAGAGAATTTCTTTTAACTACAATAGAATTGAAATTAGTAATGAATTATTATTGTTATTATTATCCATTTACTATTATTATTATTATTGAAATATAATATATATAAGAGGGAGGAGAAGAGAGAGAGAGAGAGAGTGGAGAGAGAGAAGAAATGAATAAAAAGAAGCGAAAGATCCGTTTAAAATGAGCTAACCGGAACGAAATATATCTGATAACATGTATAATTTATCATCATTGCAAGAAAATTTTTTTTTTCAAAATCAAACATATTTCAGAAATGGTAATTTAGCATAATTTATCATATAACTATAAAAATTTAAGACAACTTAAAATTTGGATTTTAAAACTATAAATGACAATTTAAGAATTCGTTATTGAATTCGCGTGCTTTCTATCGTTTATTTTTAACTAATAATTTTTTTGCAGAATTCTTATGTAAAAGAAAACATTACGAATTTTTGCAAACAAAAAATTTTTATAATTACTAGAAAAAAGTTGGAAAGAATTTTTCGTAATTTTCTTTTAGAGCAATAATCTTTTCTTTTGTTTTAATTTTGCAATTAATGCAAGAAAATGTACCTTTTGAATATTTATAATTTCATGGCACAATAATTATAAAAACAATGCTTCAAATTAAAATAAAATTTTAAAGTAATTCAAAAATGTCGTTGTTATTTTAAGTAGAAAAGAAAAGAAAAACAGCAATATTGTTTTATAATTTTAACAATTAATTTGTGTAAATTATTTTCGTATTCTAAAAAATTACCGGATCAGTAAATGTTTACGATTGTGCTGATTGTTATTCATCATGTTTATTATACATATGAACACTTATTTCAATCAACTTCACCAAAGTCAACTTGAACAAATTATTTTCATAATCGAAAAAGCAACCGGATCAGTAAAACGTGTATGATTGTACTCATTGTTATTCATTATTATATATATGTGTATACTTTTTAATCCATTTCATCAAAGTCAATTACAGCACCTTTCCAAACCGGAAATGTATCAATGGTATTTGTTTTAGGGTCCATATAGGAGTAAATTTTGTGATATTTTACCAGCGCTGATAGTGTTGCAAATGAGGAAGGCATTGGATCACCGTATAATACGCGCCATGATTCTCTACCGGTTTTGTTATCCGTTGTACATGCTATCGGAAAATGATAAATCTAAAATCTATTTTAAAAAGAAAGAAACAAAAAATAATTTAAATCATTTTTTATCTAATTACATTTTTAAAACTATATGATTTATAATTAATAAAAATAGTTTTTTCTCCTCTTTTTAAATCAATAAATTTGATTCAAATTTATTTCATTATGATTATTTTATCCTACATTTTACTAAATAGTTCAATTAAAACATAAACCAATTAATTAATTAATTACCTTTCCTGCAGCACTCATATATGCTAAAGAAAGTGGAATACGAATTGGTATGACAGCATTTTCGCTTGATGATGGTATCTGATAATACAGTCGAAAATCATTTTGACGAAGCAATTTCGATACTGCACTCATCGTTTGTGCACCTCAATTAATATATATATTTCAATTCAATTTCAGACGAAATTTTATTTCATGACAAAATAGTATGTGTAGCATAATAATTTTAATTTAATCATTTTATTATGAATTCCCTCATTTACGAAATTCATCAGTAAATTCCTTACTAATTGATAAATATCAAAACGAAATTAAATTTTTGTTTGTTAATTTTTGATTTTTAATCTATGTAAAAATCGGCTAAGTTAAACATTATTCATTTGAAAAGTTTTTCTGGCAATTGCAACCGTTTTTCATTAACACATTTAGCTTAAAACAAAGGAAGAAGAAAAAACTATTGTACTGTAATGAATTAAAATGAAAGTAAAGAGTGAAAAAATGATAAGAATTTCAAAAGTAAACAAGTTGATTTATTCTTTAAGCTGATTTATTCTTCCATCTTTTCGTCATCAATAATTTAAAAAACTTCAAATCACTAATTGATAAGTTTGTTTTAAGGATGCAACAAACTAAAAAACCTCAAATCACTAATTGATAAGTTTGTTCTAAGGATGCAACAAACTAAAAAACCTCAAATCACTAATTGATAAGTTTGTTTCAAAGATGCTTTATGATATTTTCTTCTTCAAAAAAGCATTAAATCCAATATATTGTTAATGAAAAATGAAAATAAGAAAATGTTTAAAATAATAAATTCAATTGATTTTAATTCTTAGATATATGAAAAATGAAATGAACCAACAAAAAATATGAAAAGAAAAGTTTAACAACAAATAGTTTCAATTCATTTTTAATACTTTACAATCTTTTAAATATGAAAAATGAAAATTTGTTAAATTTGAAAAATGAATTTAAAACAATAAAAAATAAAAAGAAACAAAAGTTTAACGGCAATAATTTCAATTCATTTTACAATCTTTTAAATATGAAAAATGAAATGAAACAATAAAATTTGTAATAATAAAACAAAAAAACGATTTAATCAAATTTAAATATTATATAATCAATACTATCCATTTTTGGTCATTGCGACAAGAAAAAGAATGATATATAATAATGGTAACAATAACCTAATATAATTAATTACTTCTATTATCATTTTCCTTTATCAGCTACATGTGAACTTATTGAAGTACATAACAAATATCCGTTAAAATCAAAAAACATATCTGTTAATTGAGAAAAATATAAACAGATTTCTGAATAAGCTATTTTCTACGAATTAACTCTTGAGATCATCGATCCGAATAAATTCGATGTCGCTGAGAGTTAAATAAGTGTAATAAATCAATTGGTATAAAAATCTATTAATTAAAGTAATGAAAATTTTCTTCAATGAATTTTCCAGAAATTTTTAATTTCTAAGAACGATGAAAAATATATCATTGATTATTTAAGACATATCGCCGATTACTCAATACCTTTCTTACTATAAGAAAATTGATTATATTAGTTCTAAAGTTACAAAGGTAATAATAGGTAGTATTTTATTCGCTTAATTTTCATTCTACACGATTTTTTCCTTTTGAGAGAGATAGAGAGAGAGAGAAAGAGAATATAAAATATATTAGAAAATTTTTTAATTATTGCAATTTAAAACTTTTTAAATTGAAAAATAAAATCACTCACCAACAAATACGTAATCGTCATTTTTATCACGTTTAACTGTTTCATTAATTTCTTCCTAATAAAGATGAATATAATAAATTATAAAAAGATACTTATGATAAACATAAACATATATATAAATATATGTATATAGTTAAATTTTGAATTAAATTAAATGAACATTATTTAAATTAACTTTTTTTTTTTAATTTTAAACTAATAATTTTTGCAAAAATTTGAAAAAAACATTGAGAATTTTTGTCATTTTTCTCTTTACTCTTTCTATTGTTTTAAAATAATTATATATTTTAGTAATGAATTCAAACGATCGATAAATTTAATTAAAAAAAATTTTTTTTATTAAATTAATAAATGAAATTGGTAATTTTCTTATTTTGCTAAATATGAAGTTATTTAAGCATTAAATAATGCATAAATACCATATTGAATGTGTTAAAATGATATTGATGATAATATTTCAATGATAATAATATATAATGATACTAATCATTGATAATATTTTAATCGAATAAATAAATAAATGCTATTCATTTACTTTTTCTAGCATTATTATTATTTCGAATTTTAATTTAAAAAAAATTTAATTTTACTAAACCTTTTCACTTGAATGATAATGACGAGCACTTTTCGCATAATCTTTTCTTTTTTGATGATATCCCTTATCCCTCAAAAAAGAAATATAAGTAATTAATCAATCGTAAAACAATCAATAATTATAAATATTATTATTTCACTACAAATATGTGATTCATTACATTTCCTTTTTCATTTCCATTTTTTGCCATTTTATCTAATTTCTTATTTCTCTTTTCTTTATTTCTTACCTTGTTAAAATTTTTGTTAATACTTTTTAATGTAATATATGTAAAAAGAATAAATAATTATTATCAATCAATCATTATTATCTATCATATTATCAATCTCTCATTATTATTTCTCATTACTTTTTAAACTATCATTACTTCATAATAACAACAACAGCACTATTATCATTTATTTCTATTTAATCTAATTAATCAACAAATATGCAAATAACAAATATATAACAAATAACAAATATATTTTATCTTTTAAATTTCGTTGATTAATACTTACCTTTGATGATTATAGCTGCTGGATTGTTTGATCTGTGGCGATACAGTATTTTCTTCCTACGAAATAGCATATTTTGTTATTTTATAAAGTTTTCGATAATTTTTTTAAGGTATAATTAAAGCGTTAAATAATTTTCATTTTCATATTTCTTTCAAAATGTATTTGAAATGTTAAATAATTTTGAAACAAAAAAACAGTTTAATTATTTGTTTTTATTTTTTAAGGAAAAATTAATATTGTGAAAGTTAAAAATCTTTTTGTTTTATTTTTTCAAATACAAAAATTTGCAATACATCGCTTCCCTCCGCATATCGACCAAATTTTGGACGTTTTGGCCATTCAACTTCATAACTGTCACTTACCTATCAAAAGGAAAAAAGATTAAAGTATAAATTTAAAACAATAGAAATGACTAATAATTCATTTTGTAGTTAAACGTCGACAAAGTACTTTTTCTTCTTTTATCATTAAATTAATTTAATTTAAAATCTAATTATTGCAAATTCAAAACTAATACGCTAGAAAAATCAAGATAAATGAAACAAATTTTAATATGAAAATTGTAGACTTTTTTATGAAATAAAATCTACGAATATAAAATTTGATTGTTAATAAATCGAATGTTAAATTTTTCCCATTCATATATATATATTTGAAATTAGTAATTAATCGTACTAATCGTCCATCTTTTGTTTCATGTACCAGATAGTCTGGTGATGTTCCTGAACATTCGAATTGTGCTATTGGCTCATAACCACTTAAAAATGATAAATTGAATAAATCAACTAATAATTTCATATTTTTAAAATAATTAAAATTGATATATGAAACATGTGCTATTACTATAATTCAATGTAAATCAATTGTTAGAAAAAAATGATAAGGAAAGATAATTATAATGATATGAAAAATAATTATATATCATACTTTCGTCTTGTTGAATTCGATCCAGATCGTTCCTTCTCCTTACAATGATACATCAATGAAATAATTCAAACGTTACAACTGTACACAGCTGTACAGTGATGCTACCGTTCTTTATGAATAAAATTTGCAAAATATTTTCACATCGTAGAAAATGTTCTTTAAATAGTTGTCGTATCTAGGAAATAAAAAATTATCTTACGCTTAGTTGACAGTATTTTACGTTTAATTAACACGTAACACGTATTACATTGTATTTTATATTATGAAAAGGAAATTTTGCATATTATCTCCTACAATAATTTGTTTTCGGTTACTTTTTTTCTTATCAATTTATAAATGAGTTTTTAATAATGCAAAAAAATAATATCAAATCATTTTTATGAAAGTATAACAAACTGATAGGTTCAATTTCTTTATCAATTTTCTTTTTCAATTTGATAATTCGTTAATTTATGATAAAAGTGATTTCATTAAAATTCATTAATATTTCTCTTTTGTCCTATAATGGATTTCCTTTTTTTTCCTTTACCGAGAATTTATATGAAAATTTAACGCAAAAGATATATTATCAACTAAAGTATGTTAAGAATTATGAGGAAGAATAGAGTTTGAAGAAAAGAATAAATTATTAATAATAAATAACAAAATAAGTTGAAAGTGTTTAAAAATATAAATTGAAATTTAAGTGATAGAAATTGACAGTTTGGTACGATGAAATCCATGAAAAATAAACTGATACTATCCATTAAATCTTTTTCAAAGCAAAAAATACCATTTAAATTCATTTCGAATCTAAAATTGCTTCTTAAGGAAAAATTGAAAAAATTGAACAAAGAAATATATGCATGCGATAAAAGTTCTTTAAAAATATACAACAACAATTGATAATTTGAAAATTTTTTAAAATTATGCAAATTGAATTTTTAGAAAATGTCGGAGAAGAAAGGAATTCTGTCAAGTGGTGGTGCCACTCATAAAGCTCATGTAAAAATAATTGCAGAAGAAAGAGTTGAAAATTTATCACCGACATCACCACCACCATCACCTTCATCGGTAATTCTATTTTAATTTAATTACAATTAAAATTTTTATGTTATTATCAACTTTATGTAAAAAAAATATCTTTGTAGATTGATCAAAATATCTTATTTCATACTTTCTATAACAGCTTGGAGTAATATTACTTCGTACCAAATCGTATTATTAACTTAATAAATTCTGATTAATGCTTTAATAAATTATTTTATTCTTCCTAAATTTGTAGAGTAACTATAAATTTTGACTTAAATTTGATAATAAATTTATTACAGTTTCAAATTTTGCTAGAATTAGTTGAGAAATTAGCATATTACAACCCTATATTGCTGCCACAAAATATGCAACAAATTGAAAATATTTTATCATTTGAAATTATAATAAAATTATATATGTTTAAAAAAAAGAGGAAAAAATTACTTCATTTCTTTTTGTTTTCGAAAAAGTTCAAAATATATTTCGATAATTAAAAATGGATAAACTTTAAAACGAAATTATTTCTTTCGATGATTAAGAAAATAGTCGCAGCATTTTATAAACTTTTAATTCCTTCGTTTTTTTTCAACAAATTTTAAAATATTAAAATTTTGCTTTTTCTTAATGAAATTAAAATTTCACTTTCTTTTTGCTTTTGCTTTAATTAAAATCGAATTTTGCTTTAATTAAAATTATGCTTTCTTTATTTTAAAAATCTTTTCATGCAGATAACAGCTCCAAAAGTAAATTTTGGTGCAAAAGATGAAATTGAATTGTTACGAGAAGGTGCGAAAAATATTCATGGCCAACAGATAAGGAAGGTTTAAATGAAATTAAAAATAATGTGATTGAATTCAATCTGATATACTATTCATTCATTCATTTGTCATGAATCTTTAATATTTTAATAAACAAATTTTAATTCGATTGAAAATTAAACGCCAATATTTTTGGCTAAATTTAATCTTTCCAGGAATTTATTTATTCCAAATGAATTAATTTAACCGTTCTAAATTAAAATAAATATTATAATAATTAAAATTTTTATAAATAAATTAGAAATTACTAAAATGAGATAAGATAGGATGAGAAGAAAGATATTAGCAAATAGTTTTATGTGGAAGTTTATTGGAAACAGCCAATTTTAATGGATAAAATTCATTTCTTCATCTTTCACATTCTTACTAATTAAAAAACAATCAATAAAAAGTTTTGAATTTTATTCTAAAATTATCAAAAAAAAATGAATGTTAAATCAATTTGACTTATAGCTAATTTATTCACTTAATTATTTACATATACGATCAACAAAATACTAATTTAATTTGTACAGAGAATAATACATATTAAAACAATTATCAAGTAAATTTGCTTCAATTGCATTCAAACATATTTTTATTCAATTTTTCATTTCAAAGATATAAATAATACAAAAAATAGGAAATAAATAAAATTTATATTATTATATTAAATTTATATTATTGCATATATAATTTCATTTCTGAATTTATTCATTTCAAGTAATGATAAAACAATGAATATAATTAAAAAATTGGAATATTATAATCCATCTTTTTAATTGGCAAGAAAATCGAGAATTTCAAGAAATAAAAGTATTATTTACTATGTTTATCATTCGTTCAATCTGTCCTTTTTTTCATTTCCATTAAATATGAATTAAACAGAAATATAATTACGGGTTTTATTTTAACACAATAACAATAATTATAATAGTAATATTAATTAGTAGTAATAATGGTAATAATAACATTAACAATAATAACGATAATAGTATATCTTCCTTAGCTCTACCACACTACAACTTACGCCCCACTCTATTATTGATAACTGGTTTGTACCACTTTATTTATCAAATTTCGCTAATAGTAAAAAGAAAAATATAAGTTCAACATCATAAAGCAAAATAATTAGATAATGGTGAAACATTTAAAACATATGCAGGATTATGATAATTATAAAAAGAAATAATAGTATATAAATTATACTCAACAATACCATGATAATTGTGGCGGTAATGGTAAATGCAATTGTGCGATCGCTTAATATTACGCCAATAATCTGTAAAAAAAGCACAAGCAAAAAAGAAATGTTAGAAATATTAAAAATTAGAAATACTTTTTTGTTGGATCAAAAAGAAATGGTTGAAATTTGAAATCTTTCCTCATGTTTATTTATAAAAATTTATAAATTTAACTTACCAATTCGAATAAATTTCTTAATTTATAATATAATTTAATAAATTTTTATTATCATTTTTTATTCGAATAAATTTGATCTAAAATTATTATCACAAAACAATCAATAATTTGAAACTATTCTGACTGATTAAACGATAAGAATTAATCGAAATCTTTTACTAGCAAGCTGTGTTAAACATTCGTAGGAATTTAATCCATTCCATATTTAAATCATTCTTGTTTTATCGTTGTTACCGATAGTTTAAAGAGCTCAAATATATTTCGCACTTAACTTCAACATCTTATTTCGTCGATCATACAATATATCTGCAATGTAATTTACCCGTAAATATCGCAACAAATTGAGACAATAAAACAAGAAGACTATTTAAGTTGTAAATTATAAATTGGAAATACTTTAAATTGAAAGTTAATAATTTAAAAAGAGAGGAAAATAAGATGAAATAAATAAACCGAATATAATTCTAAAAATAAAATAAGCTATCATTATCAGTAAATGTTCAAATTAGTAATAGAATTGTGATAAAGAAATTATATAGATTACAATTTCAATTTACTAACTCTTTCATTTCATTCAATCTTTGATACTTTGCCTCTATTAAATCATTAATCGATTAAATCTCTAATGCAATTCACTTATATCATATACTAATTAAAAGTTACATTAAAATAAGAATTGTAGTTTTTTAAAAAATTTCATAATCATCTGTCAATAACAACTAATATATTTATATTTCGCAGAAATAAGAAAGACATTTTTGACACATTTAAGAAAATTAATAATTCCAATTTTTTTTATACAAAAATTAGTTTTTCGGTTATTTTAACAAATTTGTACAATATTTCAAATTATGTCAAATAATTAATTACCTCGAAGTTTGATTTATCAAAAATTGTTCAATACTTTTTCTCTATCTTTTTTTGTGGAAAATATCATTTTTGTGAATTTGTTGAAACCATTAGTCTTTCAATGAAGAGAATTGAGGTCAAAAATACCACTGATCGTGTCGGATTAATCAGGAGGATATTTTAGAGATACATACATACGGATGGTACCTACCGTGTTATTTGCATGAATAAATAAATTTATAATGTATATTGCTCTCAATAGGGCCATCAACTATTTCACTTCGAAATTTTCATCTTTTGAACGAAACTTTCAAATGGTAGAATATTCTGATTTATTTGAGGAATTTCTCCATTTATTTCAATTTCTTTTAATTTCCTTCATTTTAATTTTTCGTTCTCTGATTGAAATTCATCTCAATTATGCAAAATGTTTTCCTCGAACTAATAATCCTTTTCTTATTATTATATTTAAAAAAAATTTGATATCGGATAATAATTTTGGTTTATTTATTTACTTATTTATTTTTTTGATTAGGTTAATTTTGTTATGGTATTTATTTATTTATTTACTTATTTATTACTTACTCTTATTAGCTTAATTTTTTGTTGATCAGATAATATGATTCGATTTCTTTAAATAATATGCTAATTTTATGCATAATACATATATTCGTTTACTTTAATTTATTCGTTTAATTATTAATATTAATTGCTATATTTTTCAGCTGAAAAAAAATAGGGAAATTTGTGGAAGGAATGATAACAGAAAATATTGGCACATTTTTCATTCTTATTTTTAGCCTAACATTTTTTAAAGGTTCATTTATTTTCAATTATGAAATTCAAAGGCCTTTCTTTCTTTTATAATAAAACGAATTATTAGTAAAGCATAAAAAGCAAATGGAAAGAACAGTAAATAATAAACAATAAAATGTCGTAGAAAAAGATTATTATCAATGTTAATTTCATTGATAATATGATAACATAACATTAAATAAACAAATTCATTTTTAGTCTTTTTATCTTCTTTTTTTTAGATGAATGTATAATATAATATATTTTATAAAGAATGCATGTTTAAAATAACTTTTTGTTTTAAATTTCAAAAGTTTATAAAATAAAGAAACATTTAGATGCAATAACCCTACAATGTTACATTTGTGGTGATGAAAATTTGGCTGAAGACGGTGAATGTCATACACAATTTCGTTATGATTGTACTGATTATGCTAAAAATTTTCAACCTAATGAATTAATTTTTTGTCGAACAATGCGAAAACGAATAAGAAATGGTAGAGAAATTTTCGCAATTGTAATTTTATTAATTTTCAAAATATTTTTCATATTTGTTTTAAAAAAATTTAAAGTTTTCGAAATTAAGAAATTGCTGCGATAAATATTAATAGATTTCATTACTAACCAAATAATTATTAATAAAAAATAAAATAGGAAATAATTTGATCAATTTTTTTAAGAGGTAAAGATTGTATCAGTATCAATGAAATAATAATTTTAGAAATTAATCAGCAGCAAATTAACACTTAATTATTATTCTTATCAGGTACTTATACGATTATGAAAGAATGTATTAGTGAACAAGATCATTATCGAATATTTCCACCAAGGCTGTATTCATTTGATGAGGAATGTGATTTAATCGAGACAGGTGGCGATGAATTAGCATATTGCATATGCCAGAGAAATTTTTGCAACATGAAAAATATTATCGATCAGTTTATTGATTTTGAACAAGTAATTAAGTTTTGCAAATATTTTGCGTTTATTATGATCTTTTACTTTTAAGCACTAAAAAAAGATAAAAACAAAGATAATTTATTATTATTATATTTAATATCAAATCGAAATTAATTCTTAACTTGCAAAATTTTAAATTACTTTATAATTAATTAAACTTTTTTTGCAAAAAAAGTATCACAAATATTTGCAGAATCATCCGGAAATTTTTGATGCTATCAATGATAAGAACGATGAAGAATTTCTAATATCATCGCAATCATATCCAACACAATTGAATTATCAGTCAAATCGAAATACTCCTCAAGTATTTACGAAATAATTGATAATAATTAATGATAACATTGAGGAAAAGAAACGATTTTATTTAATTTCGTCTTATCAAAAAATTTTTATTTTCAATTGCTTGTCTTTTAGAAAGAAACAAACATTCATTATGAAAAATTAAAACCTATACGATCTGATAAACGATCCAATGATGATGATTTTGAAGAGAATAATTCGAATCATGCAAATACTCACTCCATATCACATCAAATATATGATACCTCACGTAAGTATATATATAAACATGTAACAAAATATCGAGATAATGTTATGCATGTGTTAACAATACAAAGTATTGTTAAAACGTTGTTAAATTTATTATTTGAAATTATCATTGAATTCACCTGATATTGAATTCGATCAATTTAAATATAATCAAGAATTTCAGGAATATCTCATCAAATATCTAATTTTCCTTCAATGCAAAATTATAATCCAGCAATGTTTACTGGTAATACTGCAACGAATATTTCAATGGGACAAAATAAACATAGGTTAATTAATGTATTCATCATTAGATCCTATCTATCTGTATCAGAATTCATTTACAACAATTCATTTACAAGAAGCTGAATTAATTTATATTATAGTTTAATGAATGCTGCGCTAGATTTGCTGGGAAGAAATTTTATTCATATGTTAATTTTAGTAATGAAATGGATAGAGCTATTCGAAATTTTATAACACCACAACAAATATCGGCATTTCTTGAAATTGAACAACAAAATGCTGTAAGTTAATGAATGCTATGCTTAATTTCATTTTAATTTTATCTCATTCATTTTTGAATTTGTATATTACTTTAAGAAAAAGAAAAAAAGAAAAATAAAAACTTTAGGAAAAATTAGTAGAATCAGAAAATTAGATCAAAGGAAAGAATGAAAAATGAAAAACAATTTCTTCTTATACTATAATAGAATTTAAGTCAAATGATACAAATAAAATATTAAAATTAAATTGTATAATTAGAACATTTTTAGAAGGCAAATAAAAATTACTGCTATAATTGCGCGAAAACTTTGGATGATCCTACAGAAGATTGTTTAGATGCAAAAATTATCCAATGTCCAATTTCAAAAATTAGTGGACGAAGCAAAATGTGTATCACCAAGTTAACCTTCGTAGCAGACGATAGTTTGATTTCATTTTGCAATATACATCAACGCATTCAAAATGCTTTCTCATCTTATAGAAAATTACTGAGAATGGATACATTTAGATATAAATTAAGCAACAAAATTGCAATTTTAATTTTTAGGTTTTAAATTTGAACAAAATTTAAAAATTAAATTAAGCTGAATTTTTTGACTAATTCGATTTTTTGTTTTTGAGAAAAGAAATTTTGCAGGTTATTCTAGCAAAATTCTTGGAATTTATTCTAACATATTTTATTATTACTTTTCTACTATATGTATATAGTTATTATCTTTTCTTCTTAATGCATTTATTTAAAATTCCTTGAAATTATATTTTAATTTATTTGTAAGCTTAAAATAATTCAACTTTACAAATTACAATTACTGTTCTTTTCTTTAAATTTTCCTTTTTAGAATTATATAAGTTGGAAAAACGATGCAGCACCGATATTGAAGAAAATAAAATTGAATTCGATGAAATATTATTATTAAGAAAGGTTGCTTGTATCAGAGCATTGGATGCTTTACAGGCCTATTGCTTATGTTTAGGACATTATTGTAACAAGGATAGTTTATTTCAACAAATTGAAAAACTTGCCCAAAGGTTGCTATCATATTAAAATTACTATAGTACACAGTTTATCGTTTTTTTTTTACTATTGATAGGATTGTCATTTGTATCACAATTCTAATCATAATTTAAAACTTATCTAAACTTTTTTTCATCATATCAGTTATTATCATATCATAATTATCACCAAATTGCGTTATCATTATTTTACATTTCAAATTAATAACTCGAAATCTATTATTTTATTTGAAAATAATGATTGTTGGAATAATTAGTATCATAATTATCACAATATTATTATATTTTTATTATCGAATAATTTTTATTCGATGAATTACAGTTTCTACAATTGTTTATTTTTGTTTTCTTTCCAGTAACGATGAAAGCCATTCATTGATTAATTCGATATTTAATGAGAATACCAACTCGGTTATATCATCAAGCAATAAACAATCCAAAATTGAAACAAATAATGTAAGCAATCTAAAATTCAAAATATTTTTATTTGAAATACAAATTTATAAAGAATATTTAATCTTAAAATAATTAATTTAAACAATTAAGCTAAAATTCCGTTTTATTTTCAGGATATGATAGTTCCGATAATTTCATCGAATGCCGTATCACTACGAAATTTTGTTAACAAATCTAACGCATGGTAAATTATTTATTTAATTACAAAACAAAATATTTATTTTATTTTATCTTTTCATTGAATTACAAAAATAAAAAATTTATTTTAATTTATTTCATATTTTAAAAAATAAATAAATAACTTTTGTATTAATTTTTAATATGAAAAAAAGTTTGCTCCACACATTTAAATATAAATTCTTCCTTGCAATGCTTTGATAAAAGAAATTACGATAATTAATTAATATTAATATTAATTAATTGGAAAAAAATAATTACTTGAATTATTATTTATTTTCTCCATTGAATTCTTTACATTATGCTGAAAAAAATATTTAAAATTTGAAAATTTTCAGGAAATTTATGGAAAGAGAAAATATGGCGGAAGATAATACTGCGAATAGTAATAATATTTCTATAAGGAATATTTTCACCTTTCCCATCATAATTATAATCATCATATTATCAACACCTTTATTCTTCTGATGAAAGCTTATTATTTTTGCATTTTTCACCTATTCTACCATAATTATAATTATCATATTATCATTTTTATTCTTATTTATTTTCTCTATTGAAAAATTGCATTTTTAGCAATCACAATTTAATAATTTATGAATTTATTATTCTCTTTTCTTTTTAGCAAATTTTAATTTATGGTAATTATAATTAAATTTTAATTGTAATCGGATAATTTCTTTTTAATTTTAACTTGCAAAATATTAATATATTTTTTTCCAAATCTTTTTTTCATTGTTTTATTTGCATTATTCGATTAATTCAATTATTTTTATAATTTTTGAATTTTAATTTTTTATGAAATAATTATTATTATAAAATGAAAAAAGTTTGTTTGCAAATTTAAATAATTTAGAAAGTTTTGTTTTCTTTTTAAATCTTTTTTTTATTCAATTATTTTTCAAAAAATTTTTTATTTTGGATTTAATTAAAAAAAAATAATATTAATTAACAAAAAATATTTGTGAAATTCTTTTTTGGTATAATTAGAAGAGAACAGAAAAATTACTTCCGGGTACGGTAAGGATCACACGATTTACCAACAAATATATTGCATATTCTGTTTGCAAACATTTCAACAACAACCAACAAATTACGAGAGGTATATACCAATTCATTTCGAGCACCTTCTCAAACCACATCACGTATCTTCAATAAACTCATTGCAAAATATGTTCGATTATCCTGATTGCCTGTTATCATTTTATGATTATCATTTATTTCGATTTTATACAAAATTGTTTTAATATTTTTACAATTTTTATTGTTATGAATTTTTTGGATATCATTTTTGTTTAGCTTTTATTGTATTTTATGGCTATTATTCACTTAATTAATATTATTCGTACAATTATTACATTATTCATACAATTATTTTACTATTAATTTAATTCATATTATAATTTTATAATTATTATTCATTGATTATGTGAAATGGATCTTTTATTTTAACCGTCCTCATTTTAATATGCATAATTTTTTGGAAAATTATTATTAAATTTATAAATGAAATTTTTAAACAGCTTAATACGATTTCAATTTTCCTTTCCATTTACATATATTGTCACTATCTAAATCATCATAGTGATAAATAGTATTTGAATGAATTAGCATAAATTATAATTGTTTATTGAAATTAGTAAAACCATGTTATAAATATTTTTTTTTTAAGTTTAAATAATAAAGCTTTTACATTATATAAACTGATATCACTTATCACCTATTCATTGTTAATGATAACTAAATGCAATGATACTAATTATAATTGTAATTATAGTAATAACAATGCTAATAGCAGAAATAAAAGCTTTTTATCATACATTTAAAAATTCCAAAAAAAAAGGAAAAAACGTGATATTTACGTAAGTGACGCAAAATATATGTATCACCACAAATGTAAATGAAAAGGAAAGATTTTGTAAAATTTAAAAAAAGAAAAATTAACGATAAAATAGAAAATACCGTTCAAACACTGTTGAAAAACGCTTACCTCTTTTGCTATCATCACTATTTTACAATTCTCTTTTCTCCGACATTTTATAAAATTCAATCCAAAAACTTTTTTTTTTAATTTTTAATTACTAATTATTAATGTTATTAATGAATAATATTACTAATTAATTTTCATTTAAAAAATACATTCAGGAAAGTTTTGAATCATCAATTTATTTTTCTCGAACTTTGATAAAATCCAATCAAAGTGTATAATAATGATTAAGAATTCATTTCTTTCTGAATTGATAAAAATTTCAAACAGAAAGTAAAAACAATATAATTAATTATTTGATTAAAATTTTCCAAAATTTATATATCAATGAATGAGTTTTATATAATGTCTAAAATTTTATATAAGTGTGGTTTACGTTTGCAATTATTTGTATGCTATATTAATTTCACTAATTATTATTTCAATTTCAATAGTTTCATTTTTAAAAGAGAATTTTAGTATATTATCAGAATGATGTGAGAAATATTGAAATGTGGTAGAAGTTAAGTAATAAAATATTTCCTGTTTCTTAAATATTCAATATATTTCATATATTTCATCCTCCATTTTACCATTTCCTCATTTTTACTGCATTTCAATTAAATTAATCCCGATATATCCTCCATTTCGAAGACGTTATATCCTCCATTAGATGATATATTCTGCATATAATAGACATCATATCCTTGATGTTATATTCTAGATAGTATTTTTCGCATTTAATAAAACTTTATATCACATCTTGGACAGGAGAATATCCACACATTGGTACAGTCCGTATTTAAAAAGACATTTTAAAAATATATATAAGGGATTAGTTAAAATGAATAAAATTCATGGATGAGATGAACTTTTAAATAAATTTTCTATTAAAAATTTTGCATTAAAATTTAAAATTTTAAATTAAAGGTTTAAATATAAAATTAAAATATTTCATTATGAGATAAATAAATAAATAAATAAATAAACAAACAAACAAAAAAAGGAAGAATAGATTGCAACAATGAAAATAATACCATAAGCGTAAATTTTAGAACTATCAATTACAACGATATGTGGTATTAATACTACAACACTTGTGATGAAGGAGTATTAGGGAAAAATGAAATGAGAAAGGTAGAAGAGAGAGGGTGAAAAAGGATAGGAGGGATAGATGAGGCTGGATGGCACTGACAGGACCGCCACAGCCTAGCACGCGATTTTAACCCCTTCCTCTTCTAGGACTACATGTCCATCATTCATTTATACCTTCTTCCTATTCCGATCCGATCAGCTCATCCAGTATTTTTCATTGAAATATCAAACATTAATTAGGAAAAAAAGAGTTGGAAAAAAGGTAAGTTGGAGAGAGAGAGAGAGAGAAAGAAAGAGAAAGAGAGAGAGAGAAAGATAAGGGAAATGGAATGATTTTTGTCAAAAGGAAAAAAGACCATAAATTTAGTTGATTTATCAACTAAATTATTTGAAAATTATTTTTTCTATTCTCCCTGCCACCCTTCGTTTTTCTCTCTCTGCTTTCTTCCATCCCATATTGATGATAGTTACCGATAAAATAAAAGGATATCAATTCAAGTTTTACTATTTGATACATTTCAATTTTCATTTCATTAATTTAATCAATTGATTAATGGTGAAATTTAATTGGAAGGCGTAAATTTTATTCTATTTTAAAATGCAAATTTGTTTAATTGCAATTTAATTGCATTTATTTATGGTGCAATTAGCCCATTTTTCTTTATTTAATGTTTTGTTTACCTTAAAATGATTAATTTGATGAATGATATTGGTGGAATTTTAGCATCTAATTTAGTATTCGAAATTATATCTTATAAGTTATTCAATTGTAATTTTCACTCTTTTTCACCACATTTTTTCTTGTGATCTAATAATTAATAATATTGATAACAATAATCATAATAATATTAATAATAATAATGATAATAACAAATAATAAACAATAAATAATCAATAACTAGTAATAAATAAATGACAAGTAATAAATAAATAATAAACAACAAATAATAAAAAATAGATAATTAATTAGTAAATGATAAGCAACAAATAATAACAAATAATAATAACGGTAATAATAATAATAGAAATAATAACGGTAATAATAATAATAGAATTTTGCATTTTATGAATTCATTAAATTTCATTATTCTTCGCCATTTTTTTTAATCATTCAGTAATTAAATTAGTTGTTGATATGGCCTAAATGAAGAAATAATGTTATAGAATAATATAAATTGAACACAGTTCGCAGTTCGATCGATCTAAGTTATAGTCGAAATAACGTCACGCCAATAAGGGCAAATTATATTGGATGATCGAATAGAAATTAAAAACTAAAAATGATGTGGGATTATTTAGCAAAAAACAAAAGAGCAATTAAAATGAAAAATATTTTTACTTTTTGCAAATCATTTTATTGGAAATCTTTGATTCAAAATTTTTTCAAATTAAGAAAAGAAAAACAACAGAACAAATAATTTCGAATATAATTTTTATTTATAATATCGCTTCTAAATTTTTACTTATTGTTTCAAACTTTCGATTTGTTGAAAAAATTTTTCAACAGTTAAAACTTTTTTCAATCAAAATTTTCAGATTCTTTCAACTCTAATTAATTATTTTAATCGAAAGAAACAAAAGAAAGAAAAGGAAAATGGATGACGAAGATCAAATAATGCATCCAGTTGATGCTGAATTGCTTAGTTCGGAAGAAGAATTTAATTATCCATCCGATGATCCGCAACCATCAACTTCATTTTTTACCACACCTAATTTATTGTTAAATTCCTGTCGACATCGTGATTTATTCCTGCAACAGTTTGCTTCATCACAAATTCCACTTGTAACCGGAACTGAAATACCAATAGATTCGCAATATTCGGAAACAACCACATCATTACCAATACAATCATTATCAATAACATCTCATTTGGTACCAGAATTATTAAATTCATTAGCATGGGATCAATGGTTATCCACTTTGGCTACATCATTAACACCAGCGCAATGGCAACTATATTGGATGAATTATTTAACACTATATGGTACCATAGGCTTACCACAACATCTTGTCAATTTTTTTGCTACCGCTGCTACTTCAAATTTTTCTTCTCCTAATTTATTATCATCGTTGCAAACCAATGCTACTAATTGGATGCTTTTTCGACAACAATTTCATGGTATGACCTTTCTATTTTTATTAGCTTTTTTTTTTTGTTTAAAAATTAGTTTGTTTTTGTTTTAAAATTTCCTCCAACATTTTATTATCGATCAATAATATATTGAATTTTATTAAAGCTTAAATATGAAAAAAAACTTATGAAAGTGATAAATTTTTTTTGAGCATTTTTAAATTAAATGCTAAATCAAATTAAACTATAACATTTAAATTAAAAATACTAAAATTCGATTCCTTTTTAATCATCAAATTTGAATTGTAAATACGTTATTGAAGGTATATTTATGTGTGTTATTGAAGGTATATTTATATATATATATATTTATACATAAATTTATTAGCAAATAATCTTTCAAATATTATTATGCTTTTATTGACGTCATCTAACTTTTGCATAAATTCGATTATTTCACTTTCATTAATGTATTTTATTTACGGCTAATGTGGTAATTATTTCATTTTATAGCTTTATGTAATTAATGAAATCAATTAATAATTTCAATTTCATTCTCCAACAAAAAAATTTTTTTTTTACATTTCTCTATTCTATGCTATTTTTCATGCATATAATAATTAGTAATATATCTTACTTTCTAACATTTGTCATTTATTATTTGACAATGATAGAAAAATTTTAACATATATATATATATATAAATATTATAAGGAATAAACAACTTTTCCTATACTTATCGCAAATACATCAAACGAAAGAATATCATAATCGAAAGTGTTAGATGTGAATAGTTATCATACGATACATATATTTACTTATTTGTTTAAATACATTATTAATATGTACAAATTCATTAATGATTAAGAAATGTGCAACAGAGAGATAAATGAATTATTAAATTATTCTTATTAGTTTGGCTGAATTTTGCTCTCTTAAAATTTTATGAAAATATTTCAACAATTTCTTCTTTACATATTGCGAAATATTTTTGCTATACTTTTTTTCATTTGTTTATTATAAATGATTAGTTTGGTTAATTATTCGAATTTTTAAAATTGAAATAATATAAAATTAAATTTATTTATTTTAGATATCGATATGTAGCAATATTTTTGTTCATTTCTATTTTTAACTATGATGAATTTTTGTTGACAGTGTCTTTTTCTCTTTTCTCTTCTTTTCTCATTGCAATATTTGATGAATTATTTCAATCGGATATTTGACAAAAATTAATTGGAAATTATTTTTTGAAAATATTCTTTATCAGCTAAATAATTAAATTACTTTCACATAGTTTTGATAATTAAAAGAAATATAAATGAATAATTTTTAAAATCTTTAGAAACAATAAATAAAACGTATATAAATTAAATTATATTAGGAAAAAAAAAGTTATAACTAATTAAAAATATAATACATAAAATATTCTGTGGGAAATATATTCTTATATCGAAGGAATTAAGCATTATTTAAGTATTTAGTTAATTAGGTATTTGTGTGAATGTTTCAACTAAGCATTGTTTAAGTACTCAATTATATATTACATGAATATTTCAAGGAATGAATGTTTTGTTTTGTGACAAATTACGAAAAATTTCATACTATTAGGCTATTATAGGGAATAATATTATGTAAATATTTAGTTTAACGATAAATCTCTTAACGATATGTTTCTCTTCATTGTTTGAATATTTCAAAGTTAACTTTTCTATAATTTATTCCGTTGTTTCCTTTTTCTCCAAAATATTTTTGTTTTAGAAATTTTGATGAGATAATGCAATTAAATATTAAATTCTATCCAAATACTATCCAAAAAATTTGCATTTCTTAAGTTATATAAAAGTAGGAATTAATCAAAGCTTGTGGATTAATTGATGAAAACAAATGATGATAATTTATTAATTCATCCATTATCCAGGATCGATATATGTTGCATATCATATAAATAACTAGTTTTTAAATTTTCTTTTATTAAAATTTCAATGACAAACATGAATAAAATTATATACATAAATAAATATATAATATAATATAGTATAATATGATATAGTATAACATATTATAATATAAAATAATATAATAAAATAATATGTGTAAAACTTACTTGCTGTTATTGATTTGGTAGGATAAAAAAGATAATAAACTATAGGATATCTTAATGATTGGATGGAATGTAATATTATTACCCAACAGGTGACTTTATCTTTAAATATCTTGACAATTATAACATCAATTTCTTATGTTATCGTGTAATTAGAGATTTGCAATTTAAAGTTTTTCCTTTTTTTCTTTTTTTTTGGAAACTATTTTATTTTATAAAAAGAGTATTTGAGAATGGTGATATGACGCATTGTGACATCATTGATGTTGTCAAATTTACTTTATCTATTCTGCAACAATTTTACTTTATCGAATATATCAAGGTGATAGATAGTTAGACGTTATTTTTAAAAATTGATTTGAAATAAAATAAGTAAGTGATAAGATGATTAGGATGGAAAGTAAGATATTTAGCATGCATGTTTGATATGCTTGCATACTTGCAGACTTGCATTCATGCACAATAAATAAATTGATTGACAGTTTTATTGCATTCATGGAAAATATCGACAATTTAAATGTTGCCTGTTAGATTGTTTATTATAAATAAATGTTAAATGAAAATTTTTTAAGTTCAAAAACAAAAACTAACTAATTTTGTAAATTACGCAATTAAATTTTTCTTAATTCGTAAAAATTATTAAGCATAAAATGGAATTAATATTTATAAATATGCATTTAATTATCTTTGTTTATAATGCATACAATTTCAAAAAATCATTTATTTTTGTAACAATTATAGAAATAAATAAATTTATTATAAATATATATTTAATACATTATTGTAAAGAAATATCTTCTCAATCTATATGGACGTATAATGATAAAAACCATGATTATTATTATGACATATATATATTTTATAAAATACTAATAAATGTACGATAATAGTAATAAGAAAGATAGCGATGTTATTATTACTAAATATATAATAGCGATGT